AAGAAACCCAGCTCCCCTGGGTGGACATTCTACCCCTGGCTCTGTTGCAAATTAGATGCACCCCAAGATTTAATATTGGGTACTCTCCCTTTGAAATCCTCTATGGGCGACCGCCACCTTTAGTCAGGATGAGAAATCCCACCCCAGAAATAGGAAATTTAGGGCTCCACCAACAACTGTTGGGACTAGGAAAAGCACTACGAGAAGTTTGGGGTTGGGTGATAGAGAAAACCCCCATTTCATTAGGGGTTCAAGTACATCCCCATAAACCAGGTGACCAGGTATGGGTAAAGGATTGGAAAAAGAAACCTCTCAAACCAACATGGAAGGGACCATATTTAGTGGTATTAACTACTCCTACAGCTGTTAAAGTTGCAGGAATCATCCCTTGGATCCACCACTCCAGGGTCAAGACAGCGACTGCACCTCAGACAGAGGGTCCCTAAAAAATATTAAGAGTGTCCCGGGAGACCCGCTCAAGATCAAGATCAAGAGGGACCAAAAAAAAAAAAAAAAGATCGACGAGCCCTGCTCTAGCCACACCCGGAACCTGGCTAGTCAACGCACGGCCAAACCTTGAGGAAAGCTCAATGCAGCTGTTAAATGTAAATTCAGCCATGACCTCCAACGAATAGCAGAAACCCTGGGAACTCAGCAAAATCAGACTGACTCTCCGGCCGAGGTGGTCTTACAAAACAAGAGGGGTCTGGACTTACTCACAGCCAAAGAGGGGGGATTATGCCTCTTCCTAAACGAAGAGTGTTGTTTTTATGCCAATCAATCAGGAATTGTCAGAGGAATGGTTCAAGAGTTACAAGACCGAGTGGAAAAGAGAAAACATATTTTAGATAAGAGCCCATGGACAGGCCCCTGGGGCTGGACCTCCTGGCTGGCACCGTTCATAAATAAGTCCCTTGCTCCTAATTTGTGCAGCTCTGTTTGGGCCCTGTGTCCTAAACTTCCTGACCCGCTTTGTCAGTGAGCGGATAGAGGCGATAAAACTTCAGATGTTAGCCTCCAATTATGAGCCCCTGCAACATGTAATTTATGATGCTTACTCCAACAAGGGTTGTGAAAGCATCAAGAGGGGGGAATGTGAAGGAAAAGCCCAGCTGGGCTAACAAGATAACT